CCTTCACATCATGTCCCCTGCTCGTTGGCCACACTCGCTGCATGCTTTTTAAATTGCCATCACCGGCCTCCAGACGTCGTTTCCTTCTGCCTGCGGGATGATGGACAGCAGGATACTGGATCCACCTCACGCCCAGTTCGGAGGCTCTCTCGGCGGGATGGTGGGCTTCCCGTACCATCTGAGCCACCATCACGTTTACGAATTAGCCGGGCATCAACTTCAATCTGCGTCCGCGGTCCCTTTCTCAATAGACGGATTACTTAATGGTTCCTGCACGGCTTCGGTGGGTAATTCCAACCCCCTCTTGTCTTCGGGCTGCGGGATGAATGGAGATAATCAGCATTACAAACTGACAGGTGAGACACACTACAACATCTCCTCTACGAACAAGGACAAAAAGAGAAAGAAACAAAGGCAGGACGTTGCGATATAAGTTGTCTGTTTAGCAAAACAAGCACACACGCAGCTACACAGAGAGGAGCAGTCCTCTCCTCCCATTTCCAGATGATGCTCCCGAGCAGAAACAATGTTCCTGTCAGTCAGAAAACACAAGAGCAAAGAGATGCTTGAGCTAACACTCGAAGGTTTCCTTTTAAAAGAATCTCTTTCTTTTTTTACTGAAGCTGCTGTGTGCAGGAGTGGGCTGCACATTTCAAATGCATCCCCCTCTCCAGCCTGTAAAGTTTGCAGATTTCTTTGTGCAAGAAAGAGACCAGCCTTGGTAGTAGCCTGTGTTTTTATTTTGATAATATTATTTTTTCACACGTGTGTATTGTATGCATGTATTTTTATTCTGCTGTCAGACTCGGGAGACCCAGACAAAGATAGTCCTGGTTGCAAGAGACGAAGGACTCGCACTAATTTCACTGGTTGGCAGCTGGAGGAATTAGAAAAGGCTTTTAATGAGAGTCACTACCCGGACGTGTTCATGAGGGAGGCTCTGGCTCTGCGGCTGGACCTCATAGAGTCCAGGGTTCAGGTAAATATTGACTTTTTCTCCTCTATTTAAACCTGTGGTTTATATGCCTGCCTGAGTATCCTTTGTTTATCATTTACCCATGGCATTTGCTCGTTTTTATTTTTTTAAATTTTATTTAATGGTATGAATTAACACGAAAATAGTTATAAGGAAAAACCATAGCAGGAATTTCTTCTGAGTCATCACACATGCCTTAAGAATTAAAATGAACAACAAAGATTAAATTATGACTTCACAAAAAAATAAGAAAAAATATTTTAAAATAATCCTGAATTTTTATTTTCATTATTTTTAGTATCTTCAAATAAAAAAAATAGTGTTTGTTTAGATTATTGGCGTTACATATACCACACTATGACAATCTTTTATAAATGCCAAACTTTTAATCAATATTTTTATAATTTTTAGGTAAATACACCAAGTTTGGTTTTAGCCTAATTGTAATTTTTTAGTTTATATTTAGGGGAAAAAATAGAGCAAAAATTGACCTAGACTTGACCCATGCCATACTATCCAATAAATTTCATATATCTTTTTTTTTTCTTTGCTTTAAAGGAACTTTTGAAATTGTTTTTGCACATAATATTTTACTAAAGGTCTGCTAATAAAACCGAAAAACGAGATTTTACAGTTTTTCGCTTTTTATTCTAACTCTTTTAACCCGTGAAGTGTCAAATAAAAACACGTTTCCCCTTTTTTCTCTCCAGGTGTGGTTCCAGAATCGCAGAGCCAAGTGGAGGAAAAAGGAGAACACAAAGAAGGGTCCGGGTCGACCTGCCCATAACGCCCACCCTACCACGTGCAGCGGGGAACCCATGGACCCGGAGGAGATCGCGCGAAGAGAGCTGGACCGTCTGGAGAAGAAGAAACGCAAACAGGAGCGCCGGCTGCTCAAGTCCCAGAACAAGCTGCTGTCCGGGGATTTATTTCACACCCCGGGGTCGGACAGTGACAGCGGGGTGTCGCACGTGACGGACAGTGACCACAACACGATGCAGTCTTATGACTCTGTGGGGGGAAACCAAAGTCAATCGAGCTGCGACCAAACACCTCACCCTCTTCAGACGCAGAACCACAACCAAAGACACTTGGAGCAGGATGCTGGCGGATCCGAGCTGGACTCGGCCGACGCCAGCCACCGGTCCAGCCTGTGTTCCAACAGCAACAACAACAACAACAGGGCCTCCGGGGTGCAGAAACTCAACCCCTTCAGCGTGGAAAGCCTCCTTTCGGACGCACGACCGAGACGTAACCCCGCGGCCTTACCCTCCTCGCGGCCTTTGATAGGGAAAGGACACTTTCTTCTCTATCCCATCACTCAGCCGCTTGGATTCATTGTTCCCCAAACTGCTCTGAAGACGGCAACCACGACCACAAATAGTGACAGTGACCCCCCGGCAGAGAGAAACCAGTCCATGGCGCGCTGCGGCGTCTCTTCTGGATGTAGGAGCAGCACGCCGGACTCTGCAGACGCAGCGCAAAGAGGACAGGTGCCCTCAGAGGACCAGACGCGCTCTTCACCATCATCATCAACATCACCACACACCAGCCCGTCCACGCCTGCCTTTCTCACTAGCAAAAGTACTCACACCTCTGTTATTTGCAGCGATTCGACTTTCGCCCACGAACACAGTCCGCAACTCGTTACGCCTGTCGATGCAGACAGAAAAGAGCATTTAGAGAACCTGGACCACCAGCCTCTCGACCCCGAGTGTGTCCTCAGTGACAGTCCGGCTGAGACAAAGACAGACTCTAAAGAAGACTTGGAATAACTAACTGGGGGTAAAGAGAAAGAGCAGAAAAAAAACACTGACATAGCCTCGAAACAACACCTGTCATTAGGCCAAAGCTTCACCTTAAACTCTAAAATCAAGGTTTCCCCTCTCTGCTGATTTGTTTTCACAATGGTGTGCTCTCTCTCTCTCTCCTTTCTCTCTCTCCCCCCCTCTCTCTCTCTGCGAGTGTGTATGTGTGTGTGAGAGTCAGGAGTCTAGATATCCTTAAATGTGTGATAACTTGTCAGAAAAAAACAAACATAAGACCACGAGACCAACAAAAATCCTCAAGAGCTGTACAAAAGGTATTATACTATTTATATATGTAAGTTTTTTCTTAAATAAATTTATTGTATACAAGCACCTGAAACCGTGTGAGACCTTAAATAGCTGAACATCCAGTGCAGGACTAGTGTACAGTAGGAAGGGCTTTCTTAAGAAATCTCATGTTGTACTTTGTATATTGCCTTAACAAATTTATTCATCTATAAGCCCCCACTGAAATGAGGTTACGAGCCTGAGGCGAAAAGGACCCGCTCGACTCCTGCAGAGTTTTGATATGAAAGTAATTATTTTCCCGGTGGCTACTGCAGGGGGATTCAGTTTATTTTAGCTCAAAGGGGGTTATAATACATTACCGATTTCTAGTGATATGAAATCACATAAACTTCCAAGAATAATAGAATTAGCATGAAAAGGCCTGGGTGTCAAATTGAAATAGGAAAATAATAGCCCCGGCAGCTGGGAGTGTGTGTGTTTGTGCATATTGGATAGGAGATGGGGATTCGTGGGGAGGCATTTTCATGAGCTTTTTTTTTTCTCTCTCTCTCCCTCTCTCTCCTCTCCTTCCTCTCTCTCCCTCCACTTTGTCAGGGCCCCCTTGTAGCAGGGCTATATTAAGATAGATGTTCGATGATATCCCTCATTGTTCTGTCGCTTTACATTGATGTTTCGGTGTTATCAGCCTATTGATCACGCGTCGGCTGTAATAGGACGGGCTGAGGAAAACGTGCCTATTTACAATAGCAGAACACATTTGTTCTAATAGGGCTGGTGGTCCCTGGGGAAGCCACGCGGGATCTGGGACATCTGCTCCCCCCTTTCTTCTTTTTTTTTCTCCTTCTTGCAATATTAGCAGTGTTGACCACAATATCACGTCGACCCGAGGAAGAAATGTAGGATGCTGCGTGGCGTGTATGGGCCTATCAAAAATCTCTGCACAAAATAATAAAAGAAAGGGAAAGCAGTCAGTCCAGCTCCTTCTATACCCAGACAGACCCTTGTTAAAACCCTCAAACCCTTTAGTGTTCTCTTTGGGTCTTGATTTGCAAATAAATTGAAAATAATCAGAGGGGTGAGCTTTACGTCTGAGCCGGCGCAAATGAATTTCTGAGCCAGTGTCCCTTTCACAATATTTACATAAATTTCCAGCCATGCAGCTGTTTGCTCTAGGAAGCAATGTCTTATTAGGTTGGTGGGGAGGGGGCAGGGGGCGGACACAGCCAACATGGCACACACAGGGAACATGCTGAAGATTAGGCCTGCATAGGCTGTGCTTTAGAGGTTTAACCTCTGTGTCTGCATGGTGCTTATAGTCTTGAGACTGTACAGCGGCTATTGTGCGTCAGGGTGTTTTATTAAGTTTCAAAAGGGGGGGTCTTTGTAATGCTGTTTATGATTTTTGTGGTTTCAAAAGCCCTGATGAGAAAAATTCCTGTCATATTTCAATGCCAAATTTGACAGATTCAAATTGATCAATTCTTTTCACATTGTTCACCTACAAATTGCTCCAAACCGAGCTCCACTGTGAAAAAAACCTACAGGATTCTTCGGTGTGTGTTTTTCCATGCTACTCTGAGGCTATTTGGGACGTATGCCCAGTTCATCCATAATTCATTAGCACCCTGAATGGGAGTATCGCTGGCTGCACATTGGTGGCCTTAAGGTGAAATTAGCGATTTGCTTAAGTAGTTAAGCTTTTCTTGCCTGAGAGCTGCACGCTGCATGATTCAAGACAAACTATCAATCGATATGCCCAGGCAGCCTCCAGGAGCTGTGTCGTCCATGAATCATACTTTATGAATTCAATTTATACCCGCAGAAATTTTCAATTTGAACGCCGGATCATTATGGGAGAGTGTAAATTGTTTTTGCTCTATTATGCATCGGACGCCATCATTTTTCTTTCTAATTACGGAGGTGTCAGGTCGGGCTGTCATGCAGACGCTGATTTTCAATTTAACTGATCATCATGCATTCATTTTCCCATTTGATAAATCTGCTATCTCGAAGCTTCTCCATGCCCGGAATGCTAAAAGAGAGGCACAGATTGGCAAAGTAATAGGGGCCTGTATGCGGCAATAAGTGCAGATCAGGCAGCTAATTTAGCACCTCCTGGTATTTCCATTTCCATTTCTCATTTCCAACTCTCAGAGGAGGAGAAGCAGCCCAAAGGCAGAAAGCTGGGAGGCTTTTCACTATCGGAGAAAGACAGAGGAAAAAAAAAACCTACCAAAACGGCTTGTTTTCAACCACACCATTCCTAAATTAGGATATCAAGCTTAATTAAGGCTAATAGAGTTTTCTCAGTATGTGTTAGTTTTATTTAATAGAAACAAATTTGCACAATTAATTATGGCCATGATATTAAGGGTCTCATTTGCAGCACGCGGGCTGCAACCGAAATCAGCGTCTGCAGAAATGAGCCTCTCTTCTCCAAGCCAAAGGTTCCGCAGCTTCTATCCCAGATTTTATTTTTTTTAATTATTTCCCTTATTACACCCAAGAAAACCTAGTAAAGGGTAATATTTTATTTCTCAAGTTTATTTTACTAAAAATCTTTTAATGAGTGTCTTTCTCTCAAAATAAAAAAATACAAAAATGCGCAAACATCTTAATAACTTTACGCAAAATTTACGCACAATGCAAAAAAGTACGTTTTCTATTCTCTGCAAGCTTTTCTTTCGATCCACGGTGCTGATGGGGGGGAAAAACAATGCGCCTGAATTACGGTGACCAAATAGGATTGAAAGTTTCACACATTAACTGTCCAGTCTCTGTCATTCCGCCCAAGCTGCTCTCATGCGCTTTGTGTTGCTCCATGAGATCTCAGAGGCTTGGAGGAGAAAGAAGCGTGTCACTTTAAAAAGGATCCTCCATAAAATAAAATGGCACTTGACATTTGGCTTCTCCTGCAGCAACTCTGCCATGCCTTTTAGGATTATTTTACATCTACATACTCATTAATGCGCCGCTGGATTTAATCTCTCTTATCTTTCCTGTGCATACCTGGGATAAGCCTGAAATTACCATCTGCATTGATTTCTGGACGATCCTTCAAATAATTTTAATTATCTTGGAGTATTTCTGGGAAGGAAAAAAAAAAAAAGCTCTAATCAAAATTTACTGATGAAGCTTTAACAGGCAGTTCAGGTTTCTTCTGGCTCTGGATGTTAAAAACATGACTCAAGTTTTGGCCAGCGAAAGATTAATTAGGTTGTTATTGCTTTATATGATGAAAATTTACTAAATGAAGCAAACAGAGACATTGTGAACATTTCCTAAAATTTTCCTTCCTTTTTATAAGAATTGATTTACTGAAAGAAAATGTTGATGCACTTTTTTCCCTGAGCAGTCATCCTAAAGGAAACATTTGTTATTGTTAAACAATGTTAGAGTCAATCTGATCCCTCATTTTCTTCAAGGATTTGCATGATCTTCGCATGCACCTCAACCCTCTATCATTTAGACCGCTATGCCTTAAAATGCACTGCATACAATGAAATTAAAAAGCAGACAAGTAAAGTAGGATATTTTATAAGACCTGTACTCCATGCAGTGTTGGTCTTTATTTAACTAGGTGGAGTTATCTATCCCTTGAGACAGGTCACATGCCAATTTTAATGATAATATTATTATAGGATGTCACATAAAAAGGACTTGTATAAAAATATCTTCTTCAAAAATTTTCTAAAATAAAAATAATTTAAAAAATCACAGCAAACATTGACAAAAGTGAATCGAAGTTCATAAAACCCAAGGATGGAATATCTGTATTTACAGGAATTGCATTTGTTTTCTTAGTTTTCCCAGATCTGCATACCCTCCATGGGGTCTGCATTTAAAAAAAAGACAACAAATCATGAATTCAGAAAGAAACAACAGTGATTTAAAAATGACAGCTGACACAAATAACTCAAAGGAAACAGATGATAGGAAGCTCCTATTGGAGCTGTGCTAAACTAAAAGATACTTTGCAGGCCAAGAAATCTTAAAAAGCCTATAAAAGCACATAATTAGTACATACTGTAAAAGTTGCTTTGTATTCACTGTTCTTAAAACGATTTTTGTAAAAGCAGTTCTGTCTGTTCTCATTTATAAGCATTGTTCTGAATGCTGCTGACTGCTGGGATGGTGAGGTTTTAGACATAGGTGAAGAAATGACTGAAAAAAATGAGTCACAAGGATCTTATTAGAGAGTGCAGTCTGTAAAGTCTTTATGCTTTTGTTGAAAGATTATTTAGTAATCAGTTTCCCTGTTGTGAAAATGACATTTTTTCTGCCTTTTCAGGACCGCTTTTAGCACTGCTTATTAAGGGGAAAAAAAGCAGTGTTAAAACTAACACAAATGTTGATATCTCTAACGGTTATGGCGGTGATTTTACTTTGAAGTAACCTAAAACTAAAGAATGAAAGGCTGCAGTCATTTTTTGAAAGTGCAATAACATCCATTCAATAACACAATTTCCCCTTTTCCTCTTTAAAAAATCTCCTTCACATTAAATATTTCACATTCCTGCGTTATGCCAGCTCCATATTGTCTCTGAATAGCTGAAGGGAAGGATTAGATATTAGCCTCCTCTTCACAATAAGAGCACTTGCATCCTTGTATGATGATGTGAGAGGTGACAGGAGTCTTTTCAGTGTATATGGTCACACTTGTTACTATCTGTCTAGCCCTCATTATCTGGAGTGACCTGTGCTTTTGGATTACACAACCAAACCATCGCTTCATTCTTGGACAAAGAACAATTTGACGATTTGTTGGAAATGTCTTAAACATGAGAGGGTCTTCTTAAGAGGTGACTGCAGACATGCGCGGACATAAAATTCAAAGCCAGTGAGCAACTCCTCGATTAGCTCGTTGTCTTTGCTTCTTAAACTTGACAGTTTTCTCCTTCCAAAAAACCCGTGTTGAAGTAATAACTGCTCAAATATTTGGCAACTGCTTCCCTAACGTTGTACTGCTTTAAACCCTCTAAAGAAATGTTCTTCAGTAATCTCTAAAAGAACACTGATGTCTTGTCCCAAATTGTCAAAATGTCCAAATCTGGCTCTATTTCTTTATACTTGGCTTGTACTGCTTAGCTGAAAGCATCCATCCATCACCGGGTACATGGTACAGAAACAATAAGCGAACAAATTAACCCTGTGAGGACTCTACATGTGGTTAGTGTACCTTGTAGTTATGATATTCTGGACTGATTTGTCAGGATCTTATAAGTGCCATGGTGATAGATGGTATGACCAGTAAGTGACTTATGATTTACCAAAAAAAAAAACAGTGTGGCAGTCAGTTTTTACATTATTTTCTGCTCAAAATGAGATTAAAGGTACACAAATACACAATTTTATAGGTTAAAATGGGAACTAGAGGTAACAAACAACATATTCATTAATATTCACCAATCATCACTTACTCTATTTTTGGACAAATGTAGTTCAGAGAAGTGGAATCCTTGGTCTCCATTTGGCTCCATTGACATGCTCAGGCTAATTGGCAGACTATTAGAAATACATAGATTAAGTATTAAAAGCCTTCAAATGTCTGTATGGCTGATTTAATTTATTTTGGTGCTAAGGATGCATTCAATCCTTTCATGCCATGGTACACACAAGCTTTTTCTTAACATTGAGATGTCAAAATGCATTAAAACAGTCACAGGTATGTACAGCATGACCTATTTTAAGAGCGCCACCAGGGCCAGATTGAAGTTACCGCTCTGTAATAGTCGGATGTAATGATTTTCTTTCTGCAGTTTAGATCTTAAAAGTAAAGATTGTCTAGTATGAATTAGATAATCATGTAAAGATCACTTTAAATGATCTGTCTTTGTCAAGTAAAGCATGATACAGGTTTGGCGATAATGTTGAGCAACTGGCAGCATTTACTTCAGGTTAAGAAGACAATGTGTTCACGGTGATGCTTCAATTACGCCAAATTGCACTCACTGTTTTAGGAGACAGGATGAGTGACTGAAGAAAATAAGCCACGTGAAGCTAAGCCTCCTGACATGCTCGGTGAAAGTACTGGTGGATGAATCCCACTGAAACAGCTCCATGGTGAGATCTAAGACCTGCCAGATCACAGAGAAGCATGGAGTCAACACACCCTCCATGCGCTGGTGGCTTAGCCAAAGCAGAGGACTAGATGTAGACTCGGTTAGGAAGTCATATGGAGGAATTAAGGAAGGGTGGCATTTGGAGAAAACTAAGCAATAACAGCAACCGGCCTCCATTGTTGTGCATGACGATGTTTGTCTACCTTTAGCCCTGTTGGGACAATAACTAAAGAAGTACAAGGGAAGTAACTTTTCCATTGAGGACCAGGAAACAGGTCAAAGTGGGATGGTAAGAACACATAGTCAGAAAACTACCTGCGCTTCATTATGATGGCAACTGAAATACGTTCTGGGTATTTGGCGGTCACATTCATCTTGTTGTTACCCCAACCTCCCCAAATTTATAGTCCAGCCACAGCAGCCTAGTTTTAAAGGAAAGTGATGAGCAAACTAAACCTCTTTTACTCCTAGCAAAACCCAAGAGAGAAGTGTCCCTCTCTTTTGTGGACCATTTGTCCAAACAGCACGAGTATACAGGTATCAGTGGTAGCACTGAGCAAATTAGAGCATCCAGGTTACCTCGGTGCTCGAGGTCCCAGTCCAGGATTTTATCGTTCAATAAGTCTGAGATTTCCTTGAATTTTTTCTAGCTGAATCAATATAAATCACAAAAACAGGATGTTTGTAACTCAAAGAAGAACACAGGGGAATAACCTCAGTGAATCCGAGGAAAGTTCAGGAAAGCTAAACTCTATTTTACTCTAGAACGAAACCCAAAGGACTGCTGATGAATCATCCAAAACAAGACATGTAAGAATGGCAGCAGATGGTTAAATAAGTGGGGCACAAATAATGGGAATAAATGCCCAATCGGAATAAAAAAGCATCATGTAAACATTTATTTAACATGTCGGAAAATTCCAATCCAATTCAGCCCAATCCGAAAGAATTTGAAAGAAAAGAAAAGAAAATTGAGAAAGAAAAGAAAAATCCGAAAGAAAATTGTATTTCGAATGAGAGGGGTGGTTTGTGCCGATCGTTATTCAGAAACCTGTCCATGTAAATACTTATTCTGATGGTGACTCTCTGTTGGGGCAAAACTAACCTGACTCTATCCTCACTCTTTAGCCTTTGGCTTATTTATTGAGGTCAGTACAAGAGGTTTCATTATTAACACTCTGGCATAAAACACAACCGCAGGTGCCGTGTCTGCTCCATGATAACATAACAAGGCCTACATACAGTGTAATGATGTCACATCTGCACGCACAGTGCAACCTTTGACAGAACAGTGAAATAAGTAAGCAAGGGCGCCATCTAGTGACAACATTTAACAAGGGAGAAAATCGTGAATTGGATGGCACGAGCCACGGCTGTGTTTGTTGGTTTGTTGACAGCACAGGCGTAAATACAACTCTTCTTCTGCGGTTATTTTAGTAAAATTAGACAACTCTGTGCATGTCCAAATGATTCTTACTGAATAAACCTTGGTGCATGTGTATACACACGTTGGATCGAATTATTTGATTTTGTGCCCATACAAACAGTGGATTCAGATTTTCTGATCCTCCAAATTTTTAATTGGATCAAGAAATTTTGCACATGTAAACATGGCTATTGACTACAGCGTGGTGGAAAGTTAGAAAAAAGAGCTGTTTGTAGTAATGTTTAGTCAGCTATTAGCTAAGAAGCTACATTCAGAGCTATAAACACAGAGTCGATGTGCATTATCAAAACAACATCCACACATTTTTACTCTTTCTGAGCATGGGCGAGGTCAACCCAAATGAGTTGGTAGAAGAATACGCCAACCAAGTTCAGCTTGCACCACATGTCTCCATGTTGGACTACACATTTGCATCTATCAGTTACCTTTGTGTTGACGTGACTTATGAAGTCCATGCTGCAGTGCTGACACGCATGAGTTTGGGATCTTTAATACCAACTGAAAGGTGGAAATAAAATTAGGGGAATAACATGATCAAACTTAGTACGAAAAGAAAACAGCAGTGTTGATATTTAACCCTCACTGAGAGGCAGATGCGTGAACCCAGCTGGTAAAGTTTGGCAGTTGAAATTCAGCTACAGAGCAGGATAATTTTCTGTTTCTTTAGACCATTTTTATTTAGCGTCACATTTTGTGCTCACGGTAGAGGAGCATTAACAAAGAGCTTATACATTTTGTAGGAGCTAACTGGTGATGAACGGGATTTAATATTTATGTCAACTTCGGTCAAAAAAACTAAACCATCTGAATATTTTGTGGGACACCAAGCCTGTGAGGGCAAGGTAAGATGAAATAAACGTGTTCATTTGGTCTCTTTTTTCAATAAATTAGACTTGATAAAGTTTTGTTTTTGTTACTTTTCAGTTACATTACACATTACACTCACCATCCTGCAAAGTTGTTGTCCTGTACAAAGAAGAGTGGCATTAAAAACGATATTTGCTTCTGCAGTGAATGCATATGTGGCAGTAGCAACATCTTTACAACAGTGGTTCATGGTGCTCATGGGAAATGCAGTCTTCATCCTAGAAAGACACCAAAGCAGTCACGAGGATCAGCACAACATGAAAACTCCTAGAAGCGCCTTTAACGACCACGAGCTGGAACAATTTAAAACTTTACTGTAAAGCTGCGGATACTTGGACACTACACCAGGACCCAAACAAGAGTCAAGGGTAAGATATCCAGTTTATTGTCTGCTACCACCCTCAGAGGGTAAATCTGTTTTTCTATACTTCTTATGTTTGACAATATGTCACTTCTAAGGTAATATTAAGCACAATGGTATAACAATGCATTGCATCAGTCTGGACTGCTGCATGCTACTTATCATAGCTTTATTTATCTTTATAATAACAAAGGTATTTTTGCTGAGTTATATGAAGTATTCTTATTTTAAAATATTCTTGGTAAATCAATTATAAGGTGGTTATTTAAGGCCTTTCACTTCTTTCATTAATTATATTTTTATTCGGTCTTTTTTTGTTGAAGCTAATAATACATAAACTTGACAAAAACAACCCTGCAATTAACATTATATCCTCTTGTTATCAGTCTTTATTAATAATCCTAACCTTCCATGGCTTGATCTCTTATCACCTGTTTAATTATAACCTCATAAAAAAGCCATTAAACTTTATTCTAATGCCACAGGGGAAATACTCTCAAATAACTTAATATAACCTAACATTTAATGCCATCAATAAATGTATTATACAAATCTTATTCTTACACGGATAAAAAAAAAAAAAAAAAGAGAAAAAAAATCCTAGAGGATAGCTTTTATGTTTTTAGGATTGATATTTTCATCACGAAAGCTGGTGGGATTTAAGACGAGGAGTCATAGCATCAGCCGTTCTTACCTGTTAATGGGTTAATAAAGATGTACCTCTTAAATACATATAATAATAATGTCTTAACCCATTTCCTTACAGAAATTTGTAGCTAAAATCTGCGTCTTGATGGATACATTCTCAAAATTAAGATACATGTCTGAGCACACAGCCATACCAGTGAAAAAAGACACTTCGAACCTGGATCAGCCCAAGTGTCCAAGTGCTCTGTTTTACAATAAGTGATACTAAAACAGGTATACTGCATTTTACTAGAATAAGTGTCATTTTCAGTGATTTTGCAATCTCGGTTTTCATTATAGTGTTTGGAATTTTCAGTTTATGCATATGTTCATGGATATTTGTGAATGAGATGTGAAAATGCTTATAAACAGCACTTACTGCAACCCACCTGAACCGGAATATCATCTATTATCTGGAATTGTGTGTGCATGTAAATGTCGACATTGGGGGCTTACCGCTTAGTGTTGATTTATATGAAAAAGACAGGCATTTTCCTTCCATGACTTCCCAGGGAATCTGTACCCTAGAGGTTAATGAAGTGTGAAGTGTGAAAACTTCCTGAGATGGGACGAGTTAAATAGTGTTCTCAGATGTTAGAGCAACACTGTCCAAATTTATTTGTGTGTGTCAGTTCTTTATGAGTCTCAAATGTGGCAAACATGCCCCACGGGACATCAGCTAACACTGCTGGGGCTAATGCCAGCTCATGTGTTCCAGTCTGTCCAAATAAATGGGTATAATAACGAGATCAGGGGAAGAAAAGGAATTAAATTCATGGAGTTTATGGAGATTTGCTCTACCCTTCAATCTTTGTGACATCTATTGACAAACATCACATGCATCACACTAGGTGAAATCCTCTTCCTTTGCATATATTTGATTTTAAGGCAGGTGTGAGCCCAAAGAGGATGAGAGATCACCTATAATGGAGTTATTCTTAAAGAAAGACAAAAGGATTTACAGTAATGATAAACAGATTCTGTCATATAAAGCAATTTATATTTAAACTGATAATTAGCTACTGAATTAATTTGGGATATGTGGACAGCAAAATGCTTTGGAATAGGCTAACATAAAGGTTAGACCCGAAAGATTAAAAAAATAAATAAATATATATATATAATGTTTTTATTTTTTTTTATTTCAAAACATATTTTCAACTACAAAACAAACAAACAAGGGAAAAAAATCACAGCTAATAACAACAACGTAATTATAAAAAAAACCAACCCTGATTACACAAAGCAGAAGAAGTGTAACAATACAGATAATAACCACAACACAAACACAAACAAACGAATACTGGCATCAACAAAAACAATAATAGCAATAAAAGCACAACAGTTATATAACAACATCAACATAAATGACTATTTTGACGAGAGCAACAACAGCTACAACAACAGCTAAAAACAGACATCATGATATTTAAATACAAACAATAATAATCAAATCACCAACAATGACACTCATCACATTTATCACAAGAACACTTCAATCAATAACAACAAAACTCTCATAATGACATTTATACACTAAAAACACCTTTAAAGCCCCTTTAAAATAACAATTAAGCTATGAACACAAATAAAGATACATTACTAACAACAATAACAGCAACAATCACAAACCAATACTAATAATTAAACCGAAAACAGGAAGAACGGAGATAACATTTAAACAATAATGATAAAATCTTTGAAATGTTATATTTCAGCCTATCCTATGACCTCTTTAATGGATACCATACGCGCCTGAGGGAGGCTCCACTAATAGACATTTTTGGTTGCAATTAAAAACGTTCCCATGAAAGGCCTGACATGTCCTCCAAGGCTGCAGTCTCAGACCCGGCTCCTTCCTTTCGTCATTAAAGTGGTATTGCAAATGTTCTTAGCACATCAAGGCCAAGACCTCAGATCTCACTATTACATGCACATTATTTAATCCTTGGGCTCCCTGGTAGTACTGACACGTACAATTTCTGTCATTAACGTGCCTGTAAGCTCAGGGATGGACCAGGCTCAGAGATCCACTTCAGGTCCGGTTTTTCATTTAATGGCCCAGAGGGAAGGAGGGTTCAACTGGGCCTGAAATGTTTCCATAAAAGTGCTCTGTAGAGGAGCATGTTATGGCTCTGTCGCTGGTCAAATCGATCACATTAGGACTAAGGAAGTGGCAAGATGTGACAGCCCAGAAACATTTCAATGCTGACACAGTGTGTCTGAGAGCTTTAGGCACACTTCCGCAAATAAAAAAAATGCCTTGTATCAGTCCTGTAAACGGGTGTGATTAGTCATAAAGGAGCTTATTGTGCAGAGGCTGGAAGCAAATTAGAGGTGATAGTGGGACAGAATCAATGCTGTTTACCTCTCGGAGGTGTGAGCCTATCCATCAGCAGCACTGAGGATCCCTTTCTCTCCAAGTCTATTGACAGTTTGAGGAGGACCTGAGGAAGGTACATTTTAAGACATAACATTCATTTCTCTGCTATCGATGAGTAGTCAGGGCTTTCAAAATAAGTGATTAAGAGGGGGATGAAATAATTAAAACACCACCTGCAGCTTCTTTGGCCGGGTATGTAGAAAGACAAATGCATATACTCACCTTCATCCTTTATTTAAAGGAGTATACAGTATAGTAGACCACATCCCTATACTGGATCACTAAACAAAGTGGACAATTATTAGATGACCAAATGGGATGTTTCACCAGTTCATGTACATTATTCCCTGTATTTGTGTGAGCATCAACAGTATCTCTCACTGTAAATCTATGCTGTAAAGTCAGGCTGTATACAGATCATCACTTTGTCTGATACCTGCCTCCCTGCAGCAGTTTCAAACATTAAAAATAAACCCTGTTTCTGTTATAGTTTTGTTTGCTTTCATTGCTCACAAAGGAGCATCTGTATTAGTTTCAGTCTGTTTCATAACCAGAGCAAAACTTCCCACATGAGCTTTAATCCATCAATTGAACAAAATCAGCCAGAAAGTGGACTTTATATGTGGTTTTAATAAATTAGTTGAAAAGATCTCTGAGAAGATAATATGGTCTACTCACCATGGTACTGGGAAAATGATCCCCACGTCATAACTCAAAATACTTTACTTATTTTTATTTATTTGCAGCGAGATCTGCTTCCACGAAAATCTGCCTGTAATTCATTTCTTTTTTATTTTAGCCTTAAGACAAAGGGTCTTCTATGTTTGATCAAATTTAAAGTAAATCAGATGTTTTGGATCATGTATATATTAGATTGATGATTTTTGTCATGATTTCTTTGTACAATAAACTTGAGATAAAAAAATAAAATAAAGGCATGTCTGAAAAAGTAGACATTTAAAAGATAGCAGCTTGTCATGTAAAACCAGTTTAATAAAAGACAAAGTTGAAAGTTTGTAAGCTTCATTCAAATTTAGGATTAATTTTGAAGTTTTTTTCTTTCTGAGCGGATAGTGAGGGATTTTGATTATGTCACTCAACTCAAGCTGCAACCACAAGATCAATGATATACATCTAGACATAAAAGGATCACAATAAGAGAGACAGAAAATTGAGAATCCATACTTTAAAACTGCCTCACATGACCTTTAATTGACTGAAAGATGATTTGAAATGAAGCCACAGAGGTTCGTTGGCCCCCATGTTCAGATAAATTGTGATGTGTCCAAGTCTCCAAGCCTGATTATTTTCTCCATATTTGATTAAGAAATATATATCTAATCTGAAGTTTTATGAAGGCTAAAGTATGGTAACATGAGTATCTAAAAAGCTTAATGCAAAGGTAAACCCAGTCAGTAGTACCCTTTGAGGTGTAGAGTCCATTTCCTGGGCATGGTACTAATGTATGTTGGTGGTGTGTTTGCCGGCCAGCAGCTGGAGAATACACTAAACAAGTCAATCACGAGGAAAGTCACACACTGGGGGAGAGAAGACATTAAGGAAATCATAGCATAACTTCCAGCAAAGAGGTGAGCTGACCTAGTTCTCGCAGTCAGACTCACAAACCACAGCGAGTCTCCAAGGACTCGATTCTCCTCCAGAGAAAGTGACTGTGTCCTTGATGGAAGCTGGTCAGTGGCCTCCCAGCACAACACAAGTTTTTCCTTCACACAGTAATGACATTGGTCTAAGATGAATTCAGAGCCTCAGGATGTAAACTAGACTTGGAAGTGTTCACTGATGTTTGAATGAATATTTACTCTCGATCAAACAAGACAGCTGGTTTTTGAGATGGAAGACTTTTATTCTTAAACCCCGCCCCTAAGCTGTGACTGTCCAATCACAGGATTTTAAATAAGAATACGTCATTATACGTAAGAATAGTACTCTGAGATGACATACGTGAAAAACTGAGTTCCAAGTGCTGATATTAAAACTAACACAGGAATCAGTGAACTTTCTTTGAAGACCCACTACAATGAAAATCATGTTTTTCTTGTCTACATGTTCATAAATTTTTCTGATGCTACAAGACATGTAAGAAAAACAAGTGCAAAATTGCATTTCTGAGTAATTCTGCATTCAATCGCTGTGAAT